AAAAAGAAAAAAAAGAAAAAAAAAAAAAAGGTTTAGGTAAGCCTCACTGAATACTCAGCAAATATTTCAACCATTAAGTGAATTTCACAGTAGAAATGCATTTGATAGTAGTCACTGGGAAAATAAAGTTTGTCCTTTATGGGCAAATTTCTACTGATTCTACAATACAGAGGAAGAGACTCCTATAGTAAAATGGACCCTTTAGTATGTCTTTTTTTTTTTTTTTTTTTAGCTAAAGTCTCACTGTACCGCCCAGGTTGGAATGCAATGGCATGCTCATGGCCACCACAGCCTCAACCTGCTGGGCTCAGCCAATCCTTCTGCCTCAGCCTTCCAAGTGGCTGCAACAGCAGGTGCATGCCACCATACCCAGCTAATTATTTTTTGATTTATTGTAGAGACGAGGTCTTGCCATGTTGCCCAGGCTGGTCTCGAATCCATAGGCTCAGGCAATCCTCTTGCCTCTGCCTCCCAAAATGCAGGGATTACAGGCATGAGCCACTGAATCTGGCCTAGGCCTAGTATGTCTTATAGAGAGGTGCTTACCCCTCCCCTTAGTGAGTCTGATAAACCTATCCCCACTCTCTGTCTGCAGAAGTACAATGAAGAAAATTCTAACCTGCTCTGAAGTAGGTGGTTTCCAATGGCTGTGTAAAAAGAAAGTCACCTTCCATCATGCTGACCTTTTTTTTTTTTTTTAAAGTGACATACTATATTAATAAATAGTGACTGGACTTAGTGGCTCAGCCTGTAATCCTGTGCTTTGGGAGGCTGAGGTAAGTGGATTGCCTGAGCCTGCGGGTTTGAGACCCGCCTGGGCAACTTGACGAGACCTCATCTCTACAATAAATAAAAAAATTAGCCATGCATGGTAGCGCATGCCCATAGTTCCAGCTACTTGGAAGGCTGAGGCAGAAGGATCGCCGGAGCCCAGCAGGTCGAGGCTGCGGTGGCCGGGAGCGGCCACTGCACTCCAGTCTGGGTGACAGAGTGAGATTCCAACTCAAAAGAAAAAGATATTCTTCCTGTTCGTAGTGTGGAGCTGAAAGCCCAAAGAACACGTTGCTTATTGTTTTGAGAGCTTTCTAAATCTTTTGAGTCAGTAGCTTAGTAAGTACTTCCAGCCCTCAGCAAAACATATAAATAGTATTTCTGTGTGTCTGGACACATGAATAAAGAGATAATGAAAGGAGAGCCACCAGCAACAGTAGTGGGATTACTGAGAACCCTAGATCACATGGGGGAATGAGACTTCAGGGTAGTTAAAAATTCATTTGTCATAACATGGACTTTGAACCTGTTAGCACTGAGACTAATCAGTTCTGCTTCGGTGTTACTTATTTATATTACTTTGACCGGTAGCACCTGGAGCTCTCATCTCACTTCACATAACCTTTGTGTAGGTGGATTTAAATGCATCATTATGGGAGTGGCCTCAACCTGTCATTTAACAACACCATCATAAAACAGTTTTTCTTAAAAGTATGTAGTTCACAGTCATCTGGACAGTCAGTTTATATGAACTCAAATAACCTAATTTAGATTTTAGCCAACTAACCAGCATTTCTAAATAGTTTCTGTTCAGAAACAGTAGAGCAGAAATATGTGTGCTGCTTGTTTCCTCATCAAGAAACAACTGGATAGATAAGAGTGAAGGGATATAATCATAAAAGCAGCTATAAGATTGATGTGAACTAACTGATTTAGGAAATCAGTTCTGACAACCACTCAAAAGATTTAATCACTGCATTGAATAAATGTTATGACAACAAACATACACAAACACATTTACATATTTATAAAAATATAAAATATATATTTAACATTTTATTTTTCAGATTATCAAACAGTAAAATTGACTCTTTCTTTGGATGTACCAGTTCTAGGAATTTTAACACATACATAGATTTGGAGCACCATCACCACACTCAACATACAGAACAGCTGCATTAGCCCCCGAAAACTCCCTCGTGCTATTTCTTTATAGTCACCCCACTCCCCTCATAACCCTTGGCAACCACTGATCTGTTCTCCATCACTATAATTTTGTCTTTTTTAGCAAAAAGTATACTTAAAAATAATAAGGGTAACTTATATTTACTTATATCTATAGACATTACAATTTTATTTATTTTTTAGTTGGAATCTCACTCTGTCATCCA